TTTTTTTCTGTTTAATTATTATTTACTTATTCTTATTATTATCTTTTTTTTTTTTCAGGTCGTTACATTTAAAGTTGAATTGATCGTTGAGAAGCAGATTCAAGCTAGTACCAAGAATAATTAGTAACTCCAACCTAGACCAACTAAGTAATTGGTTCTACTATTGACTCGGTTTGATGAATTGTAGTATGTATGATGACGCGTGCCATTTAATAAGTCATGTCATGTTATGCGACGTTATGCAACCTAGACCAACTAAGTAATTGGTTCTACTGTTGACTCGGTTTGAAGAATTGTAGTATGTATGATGACGCGTGCCATTTAATAACTTATGTCATGTTATGCGACGTTATGCTATGATAAGCTATTATATTTTGTGATCGTGTAGTGTTGTATAAAGGTTATATGGAATCGAAAATCTATGATGTATAAACCTCCACAGACCATGCCATGAAAGCTATGTTACATACTACTAAAGGTACAGAAATTATGAAAGTATAATACACCGATTTATTATGTTATAGATTAATGGAGGTTTGTCAAATATCTAGATTATGCTACGAGGGACTCATGCATATTAATGTGAAGTGCATCGGGATACTTACATTACGACTTACGATTTTTGATATTTATGTGCATTATGATGTTATGTAGACCCTTTCACTCTGTGGTATTCAACAAGAACTCGTTAGCGAGTACTAGTCTGACGAGCAAGATTCAAGGGGTGTGTGAGCCCACCTAGTGGGTCCATACTCACATACATGGGCTATGTACAGAGAAGTACTACACATCCAAATCTATCTAAGGCCATGCTATGATGTGTTAAAAGGATAGGTCCCCCCATAGCACGACACGTGCAGGTTCACAACACACACGTTGTTCAGGCATCAAACTATTCATCCAATCAAGATAGTAGTGAAGTTATTAATTTGTTGTACTATGTCGAGTTACAAATTATCCTCAAAACTAACTTAGATCTTCTTCTCTAAGTCCAATTCAACCTAGGTGAGTTTTCGACATTGAGTTAATACATAATATCGTTGAACAAAATTCTATGTGAGAAATACTCGCACTCTTTATTAACACAAATCGAAAAGAGATTACAAGGCACTTTGTAGAATACTCTTGTTTTATATTTCTTGGGATGAATACCTAGGTAAGGTTGATTTTATCTGGAGACCACTGATGCATGTTACACAAATCGAAAAGAGATTACAAGGCACTCTGTAGAATACTTTGACTTGGCCCAGGCGGAAGAATGGGTACACCTCTTAAAATGACAGATGAAGCATGCGGTGGAGGAGGTGGGTAGTCGCTATGCCTTCTACTTGACCCAAACAAAGGAATGGGTACGCCTTTCGGCAACATTCCAAAATTCATCTTAAATTGTTTATTTAAAATGACAGATGAAGCATGCGGTAGAGGAAGTGGGTAGTGATTATGCCTTTTACTCGGCCCAGATGGAGGAATGAGTACGCCTTTCGGTAACATTCTAAGGACGATGGGTGGAGGAGGGGTCAAGTGAAATAATGTTCTTTGGCTTGATCTAGATGAAGAAATGGATATTCCTTTTGGATGCTTTACAATTTGGTCTGTCAATTCCTCTTCTCGAATGGTGTCGTCTACATCGACTTCAACCACTTTTTTAACATCCGTTTCATAGACTATAAAGTGCACTCCAAAGAAAATGAGAGTACAGACTCTCAAAAACACATTAGACATCATATTTTCTATAAAATATGATCTCTAAACTTCCATTTCTTCCTTTTTATATAGAATTTACTTTTTAATTAAAATTAAGTTCCCTTTGCCATAAACCCTAAAATTAACATTTTATTGTTAGTAAAAAACAATAAACCGTTTGAAATTTGTTTGGTAATAAGTTTTAAGGTCCACAATTGACATTTTTGTTACTAGTTTCTAAATTGTGTTTTCCATATTTTTGTGATAGGGAGGTTATCTTTGTTTGTCCAAGAACCCAGTCCATCATGCTTCAACCAAGTATATTCATGTCTGATTTCATTTTGTTCGAGAAATTGTTTATGAAGGGAGAATCGTTTATTTAAAATTGGAACTCCTAATGATCATATCAATATGTTGACACAGGTGGTTGCCAGCATTACGTAGATTTCTATTTCTGTCACAACAATTGGTATCGTATCATTTTGTTATGGAATTTGGGTACAACAAACACAACCTTTGAATTCAGGGTTTATGGCTGTGAGAGGTATTCGAGATGGAACTTTAATGGCTAAGGCTTTCCTCCAAAATTATTGAAGATATACCGTTTAAAATTCATGAAAACATAACAAATGCTTGGAGATCAATTTGCTCTTGCATGGGTTGTGTGTTCAAATCGTTCATTTGATGCACGAAAATTTAACAAAGCAGAAAACTTCACAGAAGAAATTAATGGCGTTTAGGTACTTTTCATACTGAGCACCTTGTATAATTGGACACCTCGTGAGGGTGCAGGTCAATTCCACAACATGCCCTTGAATGCTAAGGTTGTTCATTTCAAAAGATCAAGAAAACGGTTTATGCTAGAGTCTTGGAACTTCTTTAGATCCTCTCCCAGCATCTCAATCTCATATATTTTGTTCCACATTTTAAGTAGCATCTGAAAGAAGTATGGTTTATAGACAAAGATGATAGATTTAAAGTTGAATTGATCATTGAGGAGCAGATTCAAGCTAGTACCAAGAATAATTAGTAACTCCAACCTAGACCAAATAAGTAATTGGTTCTATTATTGACTCGGTTTGACGAATTGTAGTATGTATGATGACGTATGCCATTTAGTAACTTATGTCATGTTATGCGACGTTATGCTATGATAAGCTATTCTATTTTGTGATCATGTAGTGTTGTATAAGGGTTATATGTTATCGAAAATCTATGATGTATAAACCTCCATAGACCATGCCATGAAAGCTATGTTACATACTATTGAACGTACAAGAATTATGAAAGCATAATTCACCGATTTATTATGTTATAGATAAATGGAGGTTTGTCTTATATCATAGATTATGCTACAAGGAACTCATGCATATTAGTGTGTCATGTGCATCGGGATACTTACATTACGAGTTATGATTCTTGATATTTATGTGTGTCATGATGTTATGCAGACCCTTTCACTCTGTGGTATTCAACAAGAACTCGTTAGCGAGTGCTAGCCCGACGAGCCGAATCCAAGGGGTGTGTGTCACGACCGGGTTTTCGAGGCTTCGAAAAACCGAATCGTGACTAAAAAGACAAAATCAAAATCAAACAAAAAGAAAAATAATAGAAAAGAAAAGTAAAGTAAAAAGATAAAAATACAATTGAATTAAAACAACAAAGAGAGAAGTTTTGTTTTGAAATTATTACAAAAGGAATTGCAAATATAAAATGAAGAAAAATACAATTATGAAGAAAAATACAAAAGACTTTGAAGGACCGAAAAGGGACTGATGCTCCAGAACGACCCCCTCTGTGACCGCACAACTCTCGAGCGCTCCTCCACCTCGACCGGCACCTGACGGAGCGTCGGCCTTGCTAGCCTCTCAATCCTTGTACGAGTCTCGTCTAAGGATGGATTCCGGCGGTGGTCCGTTAATCTTCCCAGCTGACTTCTCTCCAGTTTCTCTCTATCTCCTTCTTTCTTTTGCAAGGGATCTGACGTGGTTCTCCTTGGACCCCTATTAGGGCTGAAGGGGCAAAATGACTTTTTTTTTCTTGCATTACAAATTCTCCCCTCCTTAGGAACTTTCGTCCCCGAAAGTAGCCATCTCTTGGAAGAGTTCGGAATAAGCTTTCCTCACATCTTCTTCTCGTTCCAAGGTTGCCTCTTCCTCACGACGGTTACCCCATGAGACCTTTACCAAGAGAATATCTTTGTTATGCAACCGCCTACTGTCTCGAGCTAAAATTCTGCTAGGCTTCTCGTAAGACAGATCTTCTCGAAGAGGAAGAATCTCATGCTCGATTACATGAGTAGGGTCTAGAGTATACTTCCGCAGCATGGATACGTGGAACACATTGTGCACGGCGGCAAGGTTCGGTGGTAGGGCAATTTTGTAAGCCACAGCCCCAACTCTTTCTAGAATCTCAAAGGGGCCTATGAACCTTGGGCTCAATTTCCCTTTCTTTCCGAACCTCAACACCCCCCTCATAGGGGCTACCTTCAAGAACACGTGGTCACCCACCTCAAATTTGAGGTCCCTTCTACGCACATCTGCATAGCTTTTCTGTCGACTCTGTGCGGTGAGTATTCTTTTCTTAAATTTCTGCACCGCTGCGTTGGTGACCTGAACCAACTCCGGTCCCAATAGTTGCTGCGTGCCTACCTCTTCCCAAAACACCGGTGTTTGACACCTATGCCCATACAGTGCCTCAAAGGGGGCCATCTATATGGCCGTTTGATAACTATTGTTGTAGGCAAACTCCATTAAAGGTAGATGATCGTCCCAACACCCAGAGAAATCTAAGGAGCAGGCTCGCAACATGTCCTCTAAAACCTGGTTTAGCCTTTCGGTTTGTTCGTTCGTTTGAGGATGGAACGCTGTACTAAACCTCAACTAAGTTCCTAGTGCCCTCTAAAGACTACTCCAGAACTGAGAGGTGAACTTGGTGTCCCGGTCTGATACTATGGACACTGGTACCCCGTGCAGGCGTACTATTTCCTTGACATATAACTGAGCCCACCGATCCACTCAATATGTGGACTTTCCTGGAATGAAGCGAGCCGTCTTAGTCAATCTGTCTATAATTACCCAGATGATGTTGAAACCCTGCTTTGTCTTTGGCAAACCCGAGATAAAATTCATACAGACTGTTTCTCATTTCCACTGATGAACGTTTAGAGGCTGTAGCAATCCTGCTAGGCGTTGCCTCGGGGCCTTCACCTGCTGGTAAGTCAAGCAACGGCTTACAAAATCCGCTGTCTCTCTTCATTCCGGATCACCAATAATATCTTTTCAGACCCTGATACATCTTCGTACTTCCAGGGTGGAACACATAAGATGTATCATGGGCTTCGGTCATAATATCTTTTAAGATTCCCTCGTCTCGGGGAACGCACAGGCGGTTTTGCCATAGCAGACCCCCGTCTGAGGAGATAGAATATCCTACTGACCTCTTTGTCTCAGTCTGACTGCACACTTTACTGAGGTGTTCGTCAGACCTCTGAGCGTCGATAATTTTCTTTCGTAGGGTGGGCTGTATGGTTAACTATGCTATCTGAACATTACCATCTTTAACCACCACATCTATCCCAGCCCTCTTCATCACATCTTGTAGTCTTTCCTGTGTGGTGATCATCGCAGAAGTATGCACGGCCTTCCTGCTCAATGCATCAACTACAACGTTGGCTTTGCCTGGATGGTACAGGATCTCTATGTCATAATCCTTTACTAGTTCCAACCATCGCCTTTGTCTCATATTGAGCTCCTTCTGCGTAATAAGTACTTGAGGCTCTTATGATCGGTGAAGACTTGTACTTTTTTCCCATACAGGTAATGTCGTCACGTTTTTAGAGCAAATACTACCGCTGCTAACTCGAGGTCATGTGTTGGGTAGTTTCGTTCATATTCCTTCAGTTGTTGAGAAGCATACGCTATCACCTTACCATTCTGCATGAGCACACATCCTAAACCTTTCCCTGATGCATCACTGTACACCGCGAGATTACCTGACCCGTCTAGAACTATAAGGATTGGTGCGGTTACCAACCTCTTCTTGAGTTCCTGGAAACTCTGTTCACAAGCTGGAGTCCAAGCAAAGGGCTTGCCCTTCTTGGTTACCTGTGTTAGCGCTGAGGAAATTTTGAAGAAATCCTAAACGAATCTTCTGTAATATCCAGCTAGCCCTAGAAAACTCCTCACCTCTGATAAGATAAGGAATCAATACAAGGGGAATAAGATTCGGATTACCTTGTTGATCGAATATCTCAAGACAAGAACATTTTGTTTGAGATTCGAATCACTCCAGAAGCAAGATCGATCATGTCTAGCTTCAATGATTCTTGTTGATCAAATATCTCAAGACAAGAACACTTGTTTGAGATTCGAATCACTCCAGAAGCAAGATTGATCATGTCGAGCTTGAATGATTCTACATGCAACCTAAACTACATAGAGTTGCAAAGAAACTTAGCCATTGGCTAAAGAAAAGCACAAATGCTTCTTTTGATATATCTTCTAAGTCTGATTACAAATACAACATAGATGGCTTTATATAGCCTCAAAATGAAACTATTAAAGGCATTCCAAAAGTTGTAACATTCACACTTTATGGCCATAATTAGCCATTATGTAAATGTAACCGAAATTAAATAAAAAGTCTTAAAACACAATAACTCTAAATTATAACCCACCCAAAATTTACAACAATCAAACTTTATTCTTCTTCAATGTAGCATGAATTGAAACATCTTTTGATTATTTTGATAACCTTTTCTCCACATCTTCATTGAAGCATATTGTATGATTGATGTCTCTTGGTTCATATCAACCTCTATGACTGTGGTCGGCTGTGGCCACCTCATCACTGCTTCTATCTTAGCTGGGTCCACCATAATCTCCTTGCTTGACACCACGTGACCCAGAAATGCAATTTCAGACAACCAAAACTCACACTTAGAGAACTTGGCATACAACTTCTGGGCTCTCAGTATTGTCAAGACTTTTCTTAGTTGTATTTCATGATTTGCCTCTGACTTAGAGTATACCAGAATGTCGTCGATGAACACTATGACAAAGGTGTCTAAGAATTCCTTAAACACCCTGTTCATTAGTTCCATGAATACTGCTAGTGCATTGGTAAGGCCAAAGGACATAACGAAAAACTCGTAATGTCCATAACGACTTCTGAACGCTGTCTTGGGTATATCCCCTTCTCTGACCCTCAACTGATGATACCCCGACCTTAGGTCAATTTTGGAGAAGACTGTTGCTCCCTGTAGCTGATCAAACAAGTCGTCAATTCTTGGAGAGGATACCTATTCTTTATAGTGACCTTGTTTAATTCTCTGTAATCAATACACAACCGCATGGACCCGTCCTTCTTTTTGACAAACAGAACAGGGGCTCCCCAGGGTGATACACTAGGCCGGATGAAACCCTTATCCAACAGCTCCTGTAACTGTTCCTTCAATTCCCTAAGTTCTGCAGGTGCCATCCTGTAAGGTGCCTTGGAGATCGGCACAGTTCCTAGTTCTAAATCGATCCCAAAATCGACTTCCCTAGCGCGGGGCAAACCTGGCAGATCCTCCGGAAAGACATCTACGAACTCCCTGACGATGTGTATCGATGAGGTTATTTGTTTGTTACTATTGTCTAAGGTCACGTTGCCTAGGAATGCACTTGCGCCACTACGAATCAGCTTCCTAGCCCTTAACGATGTTATGACGCTTGGGACACCCTTGGAAGTGGCTCCTTTGTAGGTAAAATTGTCCCCTGACGGGAGCCTGAGAGTTACTACTCGAGTCTTGCAATCTATCAAAACGCGATTCTCGCCTAGCCAATTCATACCCAAGATGACATCCAAGTCTTGCATGTTTAACACTATCAGTGTAGCTTCGATGACACGTCCTGATATTGTTATACCACCTCCCTTAACCCTATGGGCAGTTAACAACAGCTCGTGAGCAGGGGTGGACACTGATAGGGTAATTTCTAATAGTTCTTTCTCTAGATGTGCTAGCTCTACAAACTCTTCAGATACGAATGAATGTGTCGAACCCAAATCAAACAATACTAAAGCAAGATGACCAAATACGGGTAGCGTACCTGTAACAACTGCGTCAGGCTGGTTAACTTGCTTGGCTGTTGTTGCATGGCCTACAGCTCGCCCCTGCTGTTGTTGAGCAGCTTGGCCCCTCTGATGCTGTACTGCAGGTCAGTTGACACGCTGATCATTCCTCTGAAGGCAATCTACTGCAAAGTTCCCTACCTGACCGCATCTATAGCAGGCACCTGTTCCTACTCTGCATTCCCCCGTGTGAGGACGTTGATAGTTAGGACAAAGGGTCCTGTTCCGTATCGGGGCCCTTCTTTGTTTATCAGTGTGGCCACGGGGCGATCTACCAGTTCTGGGGTGGCTAGGGTCTATCACCCTTCCCTGAGCTGCAGTGTGGGATGGTTGAGCTATTCCCAACTGCAGCTTGTCGGTGCGGGGCGAGTCGAGCAGGGTCGCTACTTGAAGAGCTTTCGTATAGACGAAGGATGACTGGGATGCAACATTCCCCCTTAGTTCCTCCCTCAGGTCAGCGATAAATCGCTCGCCCTAACATAGGCTAGAGAAAACCTTGCCAACCTATTAAACTCCAAGTCATATTCCTCCACTAATCTGTCTCCCTATTTCAGTGCAAGGAATGTTGCCTGCATTTTCACTCTGGCAGTGATTGGGTAGTATTTGTGGAGGTACGCATCTTTAAACTGGCACCATGTAATAAATTCTCCCTGTGGTGTAATGTTCTTCTGAGCACCCTTCCACCAGAAGTGCGCCTCTCCTTTCAGCATATATGTCCCACAATGGACCTCATACTTTGGCGGGCAGTTCATAAAATGGAAGGCCGTTTCTATGGCCTCTAGCCAATTCTCGGCGGCAATGGGATCCACCTTGCCTCCGTCAAAGGAAGGCGATTTATGCCTCTAGAAATCGCTTAAGTAGCGGGACTCCACAGTCATAGTCTCTGAATCCTTGCCCCCATGCCCTGTTGACTGATTAGACATCATGGTTTGAATCATCTGGTTCGTCAGAGCCTGATTTCTCATCGACGTCATCATGAACGTCTGAAACATCTCAACTGAGGGCATGGCTAGTGCCTGGTTTAGCAGGACTGTTGTACATGGGGTTGGACCCGATGGGACTTCCTCAGAGAAGGGAGTAGTAGGGGGTGTATCAAGCAGTCTTCGGGCCTTGGCCTTCCTTCGGCGTCTTTTTGTTCTTGATGGCTATGGTTCTCTCCCCTCGCTAGTTTGGGGCGTATCCCCAACCTCCTCCTGAAATTCAGGTTGTTCCTCTTCAGGTGTTGGAACCGAGGTATCCTGAACTTCCTCTCTTCTTCCCCTTCTAGGTCCGGGCCCTACATATGGTTCTCGTCCCTTTGGTGCTATTATCTACCACAATAGAAAAAAGAACTATGGTTACAATTCATTCTTGACACATCTCCTAGAGAATGTGCGATTATAATGCCATAGTTGGTCATGGTATACTCTATAAGTACTAGCTTAACCTTTGTCTTTATGTTTCCATCGCGTGAGAACGTCTGGTTGTGAGCGGCATGTGATTGACGAGCGAAGTCACAGAGGACACGACTCTCTATCCTAAATGTCTACAGGACCTATAACCTGGCTGCTCTGATACTAAATTTGTCACGACCCAATATTTTACTATGGATCGTGACTAGCTACAAGACACGAATGCATGAAGTGTTTTAAATATGAAGTAGAGAAAATCTTTAAATTCCAATAAAGTTTTTGGACAACAAACAGACAAAACAAAATAAATTTCGAAAGAATGCAAATATAAAATAAGGACTGGACTGACGCCCCGAGACAACAAATTTCTCTGTGACAATCCCCGCCTCCATCATGCCCGCCCTTGACCGATGCCTCGCGCTCCTGAAAAAAAAGGAAAACATAGCAAGGATGAGTATAAAAATTATACTCAGTAAGCCACCTACTTGTAGCCTCTCTTCGCATCCTAATTTAATAGGTTCCCACGGTTTCCTAATTTGGTTCATCGTCCATTCATTAAACGCCTAGAGGTTTCTTACGCCAAGCTTATATGGTCGGTATCTCTCTATGAGGCACTACCTTTACATGGCTATTTGGGACTACATGGTACCTAGCCTAGGGGTGTGCTGAATACCCCTACGCCCATATAGTCATCTTATGGGAGGTGCGACCTAACCCGTTCCCATGCTGCTAATGGGCTGTACGACGTGGGGACACATTTCCCATGCGAAATGGCTAAGAGCAGTAAGGACTAATCAGGGACCCTTGGTCCTCCCACAAATCTATAGATACCGTTCTCACGCTAGCAATCTATGAACACTCCGAGATACCTTGCTGTCGTGGTAAACCGCTAAGTTCCTAAGGGAAAATTAAGTCTGGCTAGATCGACATATCGCTACTAACAGTAATCCCCTAAGTCTATCATAGAAATGGGCCCTAGCAATTAACAGAGTGTGCATGCAACCTTCTTCTAACATTATAGTATGTAATTCATGCAAACTAGGCATACCGGCTCAACGGGGCGATGACCTCCATCAAGCACCCAGAGCACGAAGTTCACGCTTAATGGGGCGAATTCGTCCATCAAGCACCCGGAACACGGCATACACAATTCTAACATAAATTAAACGCATGCATACATACGGCGGAAGCATAAAGCATACAGCAACACTCATGTAATTCACCCAATACAATCATAACAATTAATCTGACTAATAATTTACATGGAGAGCTAACCTGAAGCAAAACTACTAACATGCATGCAATCCAAGCAAATCCTACAAGTATTTCTTCCTAAATACCGGGTGGTGACTTACCTGGTTGACGCGTGCCCTTTTTGCTAGCATTTCTTTGCCCGTGAGGTGTCAAAAAATACTGATTTTTTTAAATTAGGTCCCTATAAACGTAAGAACAGTATTAAAACTGGAACCGGGATAAAAATCGGGCAAACAGAAAACAACCAGGCCAAATTGGCCATTCCATGCACGCTCACGCACCAGCAGCGCGCTAGGAGTGCGTGGTCACACGTGCGGGAAGGCGCCAGTCGCAGGCTGTACGTGCACCTGCCACGCGCGTCCGCTTCCGCGTAGTTGTGGGTCGGTCGGTCCGGTCGGCTCGTGTTTGCGGTTCGGCTCGACTTGCAGGCGACACGTGTCGATGCCTTGCTGGAGCTGCGTTGCTCCAGCCGATGGTCGACGCGTGTCCTGCGCCTGTCACCGCTCGCCGCCGCCCGACGCGTGTCCTGCGCCTGTCACCACTCGCCGCCGCCCCTTTTTTTTCTTTCTTTCTTTCTTCTTTCTTCTCGTTCCTCTGAAAACCGAAACACAGACCCCTTTTCCAATTTTCATATCTTTCGATCCGTAGATCGGATCGATATGATTCCTTTGGCAATGTTCTAGATCGTGTTACGGGCTACGTCCTAGTATTTTTTTTATAATTTTTTGCTTGACTACTGAACGAGTTAAGAACGTTGGAAGTTCGCTCACCGTTCTCAGACGACTCTCGGATCTCTTCCTTTGGGTTGAGGTCTCGGCCAAACTTCTTCACAGACCGTGCGTGAGTTGTTCCTAGGTGAAGATTTCAGCATTTTAGGATCGATTCACGTAGGAAAGACTTAGATCTGAGAAATGTCGTTCAGAAACCTTACCTCGCGAAATGTTCTTGGGTCCTGACGGAGCGTCGACCTTGCTAGCCTCTCAATCCTTGTACGAGTCTCGTCTAAGGATGGATTCCGGCGATGGTCCGTTAATCTTCCCGGCTGACTTCTCTCCAGTTTCTCTCTATCTCCTTCTTTCTTTTGCAGGGGATCTGACGGGGTTCTCCTTGGACCCCTATTATGGCTGGAGGGGCAAAATGACATTTTTGCCCCTCAATTGACTTAGCCCCCCACTTTTTTTTTTCTTTTTTTCTTTTTTTTTTTTTTTGTTCTTGCGTTACATTGTCTGAGCCCACCTAATGGGTCCATTCTCACATACATGGGCTATGTGCATACAAGTACTACACATCCAATCTTGCCCGAACGAAAAAACTATCTAAGGCCATGCTGTGATATGCTAAACGGATAGATCCCCCCATGGCACAACACACATGTTGTTCATGCATCAAACCATTCATTCAATCAAGCTATTAGTGAAGTTATTAATTTGTTGTACTACGTCGATTTACAAATTATCCTCGGAACTAGCTTAAATCTGCTTCTCTAAGTCCAATTCAACCTAGGTGAGTTTTCGACATTGAGTTAATAAATAATATTGTTGAACAAAATTCTATGTGAAAAACATTTGCACTTTTTATTAACACAAATTGAAAAGAGATTACAACGCACTTTGTAGAATACTCTTGTTTTATATTTTTTTTGGATGAAAACCTAGGTAGGGTGGAGGGTATTTAGAAGGGAGGTCACACAATTTATTCCTGAAATATCTCAACCTTTTTTCCTAAAATATCTCAAAAAATATTTTGTATATTTATTCTTAAAATAGCTGAATCATTTTAGACAGCTTTACTCCTAACCTACCTAAATCATTTTTCTAAAATATATATATATATGAGCTCATACAATTATTGGGCTAGTGATGATATTTTAACACTGCCCCTCAACACTTGTCTTCATTCGTTGCACCATGTTGAGCTGACAGCGAAAGCTCTCACGTTTGCCCGTATTAAGCCCTTTTGTAAACAAGTCTGCTACTTGGTCACCTGTCTTGATCTGTCGCATCTCGACTTCTTCCTTCAAGACTTTCTCTCTAATGAGATGTTAGTGTACCTCCACATGCTTTGTTCTAGCATGCAACACCGAATTTTCTGCTAGGCGAATCGTAGATTGATTTTCGCAATGAAGTGATATTAGATAGTCTATTTTTTAGTGCAAATCTTTCATCAAGAGGTTCAGCCATGTACTTTCCTGAGCTACTCCAGTTGCTGCTCTATACTCTACTTCAGTAGTTGACAATGATACTGTTGGTATCCTTTTGGTACACCAAGAAATTGTTCCCGAACCAAACTTGAACACATGCCCAGTGGTTGATCTCCGAGTATCATGGTCTCCTGCATAGTCAACATCACAATATCCAACTAACTTGCAGTCTTTGCTTCTTTTGTATAGAAGACCATAGTCAATTGTACCTTTGACATATATCAAGATCCATCGAGCCAAATGAGGCTTCTTTGGACTTTGCATGTACCGACTCATGACTCCAACTGCATAATAAATATCAAGCCAAGTTAAAGTTAGGTAGATAAGACTACTTACTATGCTGCAGGAATTGTCAGCAGATATCAGTCCAATCTGGGACATGATCATTGGACTGTCGTTAAAAATATCCTCAAGTATCTTAGGAGAACGAGGGACTATATGCTAAAGTACGGTACAAAGGATCTAATCCTTACAGAGTACACTGACTTAGATTTTCAAACCGATATAGATTCGAGGAAATCGACATCGAGATCTGTTTTCACTCTGAACGGAGGAGAAATAATATGTAAAAGCATAAATCAAGGTTGCATTGTTGATTCCACCATGGAGGCTAAGTATGTTGCTGCTTGTGAAGCAGCGAAAGAATCAGTATGGCTTAGGAAGTTCTTAATTGATTTGAAAGTCGTTCCAAATATGCATCTGCCTATCACTCTTTATTGTGATAATAGTGGAGCAGTTGCAAATTCCAAAGAACCAAGAAGCCATAAGCGAGGAAAACATATTGAGCGCAAATATCATCTCATAAGGGAGATTGTGCAACAAGGAGATGTGATCGTCACACAGATAGCTTCAGGGCACAACATTGCTGATCCATTTACAAAGCCCCTCGCTGCTAAAGTGTTTGAAGGGCACATAGTGAGTCTAGGACTAAGAGTTATGTAATCTAGGGCAAGTGGGAGAAAATGCATGGGTATGTGATGCCCTAGTTCATTGTATTTATATCTTTCTCTCTACTCAACATTAATAAACCCCATTAGAGTTTTAGTACAAGTGGGAGTTTGTTGGCTTTATGTCCTAAAACTCATAATTTTTAAACAAAAACATATTCTGTTTTCAATAAGGTTATTATTGATGATTATTCAGTAAAGATTGTTATTGAATAAAGTGAATTTTACGATCATTAATCTAAATCCAATAAACTAATAGCACTCTAGCTATAGTATGATTACTTGAACTACATATAGAGACAAAAGAGCTATGGTTTCATAGAAAAAGGAAAGCCCTAATAAATGGGTCTATGGATCAAGTTCAAGTATATAGTCAAAATGATCTATAGTACAGGGATAAGGCCGAGTACCTTATTCTGAGGACACTATGGATGCGGTCCACTTTTTTATATGATATAAACATTGTGATCACTAAATTGTACACGTGGAGACATGTGAGTGGGGGCGTCCTATGCAATGAGTATTGCATAAGATAGGACCATGAAGAAAACCACTCTCACTTTATAATGTTGTTTACTGTTGAGACTGATTTGTTCATTCGATGACCTAAGTAACTCGATCTTAATCCTGAGTTCACTATGAACTCTTGTTTATTCAGAATTATCCTTAGATTTGCATGGGTTAGAGTGGCCTGAGTTCGCTGACTAAATAAGCCTCCCATTTCAGGGGTAAGACTAGGTGAATAGCTGGAGACATAGGGTGTTAAGATTGAATTTACTCCTACCCGCTTTTAGGGATAGTACAGAGGTTGTTCCCTTAAGTACTGACTCCAGGTCTTGAACAAGGGGCCCCACCCTCTCATTGGCCCAATTGGGATTCGGTTTGGTGGTTGGATCATAAAACAATCGTTCAGTAGAGGATTAGTGGGACTTAAGGAACAAGAAGTAAGTTAGGGGTAAAACGGTAAATTGACCCAGCTATAGTTACGAACAACCTGTGAAGGATTGACTTACTAATCATGGTTATATCAAATGAACAGAAATATATCTATAGTTAGAGGAGTGCAACTACTAGGCTATAGTGGAGCGTCCTAGTAGTTAAATAAGGCTTGCATATCTTAATTGTCGGAATTGATTGGGATTGGCATTTGATTTAATGTTAAATATTAATTAAATTGTTTAATTAATCCTTTAATGTTAATTTAATTTGAAATTAATTATTAATATTAATTGTTGAATTAAAATAAAGAAAGTCAAAATATTGACTTCATCTAATGGAAAAATCTATGTTTGAGTCAGTGGAATATTGAGTGTCAATATATGGTTTAACCAAGCTTGCATGTTTGCCACACAATCCCACAAACTTGAGTGAAATTTTGAGTGTCAACATTTGGTTTAACCAAACATGCATGTTTGCCAAATAAACCCCATAAATTTGAGTGGAATTTTGAGTGTCAAAATTTGGTTACCTCAAACTTGCATGCTTGTCACATAATTTGAGCGGAACGGAATTGTGAATGTCAAAATTTGGTAATCTCAAATTTGCATGAACATGCAAATATGACTATAAATAGAGTGATCAAGGTACATGAAAATTCTTCTTGAAAAACTTTGAGAAAATCTCTCAACACTCTCTTTACATGTACTAAATTCCTATCAAGTTTAGTCACTTACCGGATTCAACACACTCTCTTTACCACTAGACTGAATGTTTCATCATAGTCTAGTCCATATTGTTGAGAAAACCCTCAAGCTACGATTCGTGCCTTGTATCTCTCGATTGATCCATCTAGTCAACGCTTTATTTTGTAGATCCACTTGCAAGAGATGAGTTTGACATCTCCTAGTCTTGGCACTAGTTCCCAAGTTTGATTCTTCTCCAGGGCTATAATGTCTTCCTCCAATGCTTTCTGCCAAACCGAGTTTTGTGATGCTTCTTCATATGTCTCTGGTTCATTGATTTCGTCTTCTACAATAGCTGCATTGGCATACTTAAGATTTGGCTTTTGGATTCTTTTTTATCGCCTAAGTTGTTCATGTGTCGTTTCCTTTTCATCAAATTTGTTTGATTGACACACTTCTTGGTGATCAACATCAATGTCACTTGGGTCTTTATGCGCATCAATATTTGGTTGAGTGTGCATAGTTTGCTCCCCATCTTCTGTTGTAGAATTTCTTCGACGTTGTTTGAATCTGGTTAGACTTTCTTCTTCGAGGATCACCATGAAGATGCTTCATCGAAAATTACATCTCTTGATGTATAGTATTATTCACTTGTTGGATCACATCACTTCCACCCTTTCCTTTGATTGTCATATCCAACAAATATACACTTGACTGCTTGCTTATCAAACTTGCTACGTAGGTGGTCAGGCACAAATACATAGCAAACACAACCAAATACTTGGAAGTAGCTGATTGTACGTTTCATGTCCCATAGTATCTCAAATGGTGAGACGAATCCTAGCCTTGGTTGGGGAATCTTGATGATCACATGGGCAGCAATTTGCATAGCTTCAACCCAAAATTTTCGTAGAACATTCTTTGCATGTAACATGCTTCGACAAATTTCTGCAAGCTACCGATTCTTTCTTTCTGCTACACCATCTGGTCGTGGCGTGTTGGCACATGTAACTGACGTCGTATCCCACACTCGTGTAAATATTGATCAAACTCCTCTAACGTGTATTCTCCGCCATTGTCTGAATGTAAGTAACAAATCTTCACTCCTACTTCTCCTTCGATCATCATCTTGAATTCTTGAAATTTTGAAAACGTGTCAGACTTTTCGTTCTTAAAGAAAATCCACCGATATCTTGAGTAGTCGTCAATGAACGTCACCATATACCGCATTCCAC